ATATGCTCAAAATTGATACTAAAGTTTCTTAACCAAACTTTTGAGTAACCAATTCTAGAGACAATGAATGATCAATTCCACATGCTAGTTTGTACCTTAAACAAAAAGGTTTAGCATACAGTAACAACTAAATAATCTGATTTGCCTATGCTTTTAGTCCCTGTCACAGAAGGCAAACAGACAACAAATAAACAGTTAAGTTTTAAATAAAAGAAAACAATAAAACTGGCCAGATTATTTAAGTGCTTTTCATGGTGCATTATTCTACAGGCAAAGATAATGGCTTCTTTGTTGATTTTCTGAAGATATCAATCAGGATCACTGTTACAGGTCACTCAGAAAAAAAGGAGTAACACTTCACTTCCAAAAGCTGGCAAGGAAAGTTTTCAAATATTCATGCTATAACACCAGCCAAATTTCTTCTCACATAAAAACAGTCCATAACCCAATTCAAACTCTGACCACTCCCTGATAGTCCATCTCCTTCACAAAGTCCCAGTTACCATTCAAGGGCTGCCATCTGCTTGAACAAGAAGTATTTTCTAGACTTTGTGGAACCAATTCCTAGGTATTGATCTTGACCTCAAGAATAAACAAAAACATGTTAAAAGCTTTTAACACAAGCTGTTAGCCACAGTCCAAAAGTCATCTTTAGCTCCCAGCTCCCAGTTCACAGCTCCAAACTAAAATTCAGAAAGAATGAAATAAAAGTAAGTAAGGGTTTAACAGTAACCATTGTTGATTGTCACAAAAATCTACTTGGCGCATTAATGCCCCTTAGGGAAGAAGACCTGCCATTCTCACCTATTCCAGCCTATATGCAGCTCCAGATCCACAATTACTTGGTTGACTCTGAACTGTCCTCTGGCCAAATTAGAATCATAGAATCTGCATGGCCATTCAGCCAATCAAGTCTCCACCAACCATCTAAAGAGCATCCCACCCAGACCCAGCTCTACCCTATGCTGTAACCTCGCAATTACCATGGCTAATCCACCTAGCCTGCACATCCTTGGACACTAGCAGCAATTTAGCATGGCCAATCTGCCTAATCTGCACATTTTTGGACTGTGGGAGGAAACTGGAGCACCCGACAGAAACCCACATTGATGCGGGCAGAACATGCAACTCCGCACAAGGCTGAAATCAAACCAGAGTCCCTGGCACTGAGAGGCCGCAGTGCTGACCACTGAGCCTCCCAATTACTGCTACTTCTGTTTGACTGCACTTATTAATATGAACTGAACTTTTATATCCTGAGACAATTGTCTAGATCTTATGGTGTCATTGGACAAATTTCCTTTGGCACTGTTTAGTCTAAAACCATTTGGGCTTTTAGATACAGAAAGTATAATCCGATAATAGCATGGAGGGGTGCAAAGAGATGGAGAGAATGGGGTTTCTGAGTTCACAACAAATGTCACAATTAATAATACATCACCTTAAGGATGAATTAGCCTCACATCAGAAACAATGAAAAACAAAGATGACCAAAAGCCAGCATGTTCAATGAACTTGCTTGACTTTTTTTTTGAAATAGTAACATAAGATTGAGGAGGGCAATACAATGTTACATGTGAACTTCATGTGCATGGCCAGGTACTAGGGAAATGAAACCCATGCAAGCCCCATGATGCTCCACATACCAGACAGTTGTTTATGGATGATCAATGACCTCCAAGTAGTACATGCCCAATGGCTCTATATGGATGGCCCATGAATGCTAGGACCCTCTACCCACCAGAACAAAACCCAGACCTTTGAAACTCTGTAGAAGGCCGCACAACTGCTTCCAGTTCCTGGAAAATTCTAAAAGCTGATGATAGTCAAAGCAAGATCAGAGAAAGGAAAGAAGCCAGGTCACATCACCTCCATTCAGGGGGGCAAGTTGAAAACTCTAGGAACAAGATCAGGGAGTCTGGGAGAGTACACACAGTCTTCTCAGCAGTGACCAGAAATGAAGTCCCGGAAGCAAGCAGCCAATTCAGAAGTAGCAAGTAACATTTCTTTTTTCTGTTTTCAAAACTTTGTTATCCTGATAAGTTTAAAATGTGTCTAAAAAAAGTCTTCAATTTCTTTAAGCAAGAAATCCTGTGCACATTTCAATAAAGGGAATAGCTTTCCAAGATTATCAAAATCGAAATGCTATCCTTTTTACTGTTCCTCCAATCCTGTATATTCCTTGATATCCAGAGTTCGCTGGATTTGTTGGTTCTATCATTTATTGGAAGATGGTGGCACTGTATGCTCCCCTATGTTAGCTTTTTGCGACTCCTGCACTAGGACCCCCAAATCCCTCTGTGTTGCAGCTTTCTGCAATCCTTCTCCATTGCTGATTGTACATTCACCACCATCATTTATGTCATCAATATTTACTGCAAGTAATTGTGATCCCAGCACTGATCTCTACAGCATTCACTAGTTACAGATTACCATCCTAAAAATGCCCCCTTTTCTCAACTCTGTTGCATGTTAGTTAGCTAATCCTCTGTCTAGGAGTTGATGAATTGTTTCTTGCGATTCCTAATTTTTTTTTTGTTCATTGTTTACACACAACTCACAATGTGCCCCAGCAAACATGATTTTTAAACCATAGCCACTTTTGTACAGTCTCCATTGTTCAAAGCAGTTTGTTTTTCCTTAAAAGCACGTTTTTTAAAAAAAAAAGCTCCACAATCCAAAATAAAACAAATAAGATACAGGGCCTTGAGTATTCTTCACAAGCAACTCAGTGATGTGTACATTTAAAAACATTTTTATACTCAACTATTCCTAACTGTGTGTTGCATTATTTTTTTCTCATATTTAGTAACTAATGAACTCAATTATTTGCTAACTCAGAAATCTAGTTGAATTAAGTCCTTAAAAAAAAAAATGAATTTATTTGGTGTGGAAGAAATGAACCCATTGGAGAAGAGATCCTTTTAAAATTAACCCAATTGAGAGGGGCAGGTAAATAAAAGGAGAGGAAACTAGTCTATCCCTCCTCACCTGGGTATTTAAGGGGTATTCAATTTGAAATGGTAAGAAATTGGGAAGCCTTATATGGGAATATATCATACAATATAGCAGAGGATTGGAAAGTGGTAAACATGACATCGGTATGCAAGGGGCCTAAGGACTATAAACTGGTTAAGGTTTCAGAAATAACAATCAACAAGAAAAGTAACAGCCACTTGAGATTTTAGTTAAATTAGTTAATATTAATCGAGTTAATGCCAGCAAAGCTCTGTAAAATATAGGTCAGGTTTCACTACTTTTTTTGATGGAGCAGTGTTAATTAAGAGAACGCAGTGGATATTGATCGTTTACAAAATTAAAGTTCATGAAATAGGAGGGCCAGCATCAGCTTCACTAAAACATGTCTCAGTGATCAAAAAACAAGTTTTAGTAAAGACAGGTTGGTAGTTAGTGTTTTATGCTGCACTGTCAGATGTCAGCAAAATTTAAAGACATATGCTCCTAATATCACTATCAAAGCATGTGAATGGAGGGTATGAAGATCTTGTACTCTATCTTCTATCACTCGAATGGTGACATTGTTTCAGGAGTATATTTCTCTGCTGTAACAGATGAATGTTACTAAGTGCCTGAAGACTGTAGGTGTTTATGCATAATAGTTGTAAATTCTGCCGGATTATACAAATACAAGAGACCGACAACCTATTTTTTATGCCACTGGCGATAACCTGGGAGCTTTGCACCACGCACACATTCGATCAAATGCCCTTCCAGCTTCAAAGTTTGTGATTGTTGATTTCATCAATGGTGGTACTGCGTACAAAAACATGGACCGTGTGTAGAATCTATATAAAGCTCTGGAGTATGGCATTCCGGTCTGCTCATCAGATTTTAGCAAGGATGGAAGGATCCCTCAGTGGATGCAGAGGAAACTTACTAGAATGGTTCCAGGAATACAACATTTTAGTTGCAAGATTAGGTGAGGGCTAGGGCTGATCACCTTGGAAGAAAGGAAATGAAGAGGAAATTTGATGGAAGTGGATAAGGTTATACCAGATTTGAAAAAAAGACAAATACTCCCTTTCAAGGTCCTTTCTCAACTTGCACAACTGCAATCAATTTCTTTTTGGAAAAATTCTGCATTTGTACAATACTATTTTCTTTCGGTCACTTTGAGAACTGTAAACAATATGCTAGGTCAGCTAACTCCAGTCCTAACGCGTAACTCTAAAATCACGCCTATCAGCTATGCACTCTTACACTTCAAAAGCCTAGTATCTGGAGATATTCTTTTAGCTACTCTCTTGACTTCTAAGTCCCTGAAGGACTTATTTTCTTTTGCGCTGACTGTTCAGGAGTTTGCAAACAGTACTTCTACTATTATAGATGTTTTCTCTCCGAATGAAAATGTACACCACCCAATATCCTCAGGATTGTCCTGATTGTGTGTACTGGACTCCTGTTGCTAGGCAGCAATAGCTTTTTTTTAATCCCCCAATGCACTGAACTATTTACCTCAAGAGTTTCAAATGCATGTAAACAAAACAAATCTCCAGGCATCTTGCTACCACTTCCAGAACAAATCTAAAATGGAACTAAAAACTAGTGCTCTCTGTCCTCTTAATGTACACAATATAGAAATACAAGTCAAACTTAAAGCTTTATATCATATCACCACTTAAGAACCCAGGTCTTAAATAATAAAGATGGACCTTCAATACATTATGAACATGACTCCAAATAAATTATGCCATTGTAAAAAAATTAATTTACATCCATGAAAATATTTGACATATTATGTTTCATGCATAGAAGAGGATGACAAGAGAGATAATTTTCATTCTCCCAAGAAAGCACTTGATCAAGTCGTTGCTATAAGTTGTATTCACTTGGAAGACATTGTATGAGAAGCAGCTACCACAATTCTTGCATTTAAAAAAACTATATGAATATCAATGACAACAGAGGGACAGATGGAAGCAGAACAGAAAAACACAGTAGAGGAAAACCACCATGAAAAGAGGCTGACATGACCTCACCTTTGTTCTTGATTTTCATAAAACTGCAAGAACTTAAGAGACTGCTCCTTCCAAAAGTTCTGTTCAGGAAAATAAAAAAAAATGATGATGTGGATGGAAAGAAATAACATCCAACTACTGAAATGATCACTTATGAGAGTTTCTTCCTCCAGATGGGGGCATATAAGAAAACAGAGGGATTGAGCCAATGTCACATAACGGTTAAATTTGTTTCTGTTGTTAATAGGATGTAAGGGATATCTACGAGTGCACTTGACAAACAGTGTTGAACAGCTTCTCTGATTGAGTTAGTATCATATAACAGTTAAATTTGTTTGTGCTGTTAATAGGATTATGGATTACTGATGGAATGCCATGTTATAACTGGCTTATTGTATTGCTAAGGCTTGAAAATGAAATGTAATTAGATTAAGCTATCGGCATCTTAATGTTTAAAAACGTAAGCCGAACTTAGAATCGATGCAGTTACACGTTTATTCTCAGCAACCAGAATGCAACTGTCACTGCCTTTTAATAAAAAATCCTTTAATTCCTATCTATGGATGACTGGGTTATTCTAAGAAGAAGAGAGTATCCAACAACTTGGTGTAGTCAGCAGGATTTGCAAAGATTGCAGAGTCCCCGAGAACATCCCGTACACTCACTGGCGCCCCAAGGTAAGGGGTTCTCTTCTATTAAGAGTCCAGTTGTGTAGAGGATTTTCGGGGACAGTCCAACGCGATTCTATTAAAAGAACGTTATCATCAATAGGAAACGCGAGCCCATAGCAAAAGGTAAACGTGTAAATGGTCATAAAGGACCCACGGCCCTATAAGTAGGCCCAATGGCTCTAAATATCAGAAGTGTAAAAACGTCATTCAGGATGTCTAAATTCGAGTTGCATACGACTATTAAAAGGCAGACAGGACCCGTCCAATATATCAGAGGACAAACTTCTCCAAAATTTAAAAGAATACATTGAACAACAATTTGACCTGTCTACAACCCTGACTGAAATCCGCCAAAAGTATGGAACCTCCACAGGGCAATGGTCCCTGGATGACATTAAATGTGTTTGGGGTAAAACTAGCCAACTAAAAGACAAAAAACTGATGCACTGGTTTTTATGTGTAAAACAATAAGTCAGAAAGTGACAAGAAATTATCAAAATCTAATCATGACTGTGAAACTAATAATCTAAAAGACCAATTAAAAGTAGTCTGCGCTGAACTAACAACTACTAAATTGGAACTCCAAAAGGTAAAGAAGGCAAACTCAAGCTGTAGCCCACCTAATGCGCCGTCATCACCTCCTTATCAGAGTGCCCTCCTGCTTCTCATTATTCAGAATGCGAACCTAAGGTCCGAGGCCTAAATGAAATTGAAGGACACAACTCTGATGACAGTGATTCTGACGATTCATATAATGAGGGCAAAAATAACAGGCTTTTAATTTACAGCCAGTACAGACTAGGAGCCAGAAAGCAAAAACAAAAGATGAAAAGGGCGTAGTCAAATATGAATATTGACGATAGACAGACCACAAACCTGCCAACCCCAAGTTGGTCGAACAGTGGTCAAACAACAGCCCCATCCAAAAAAAAGGAGGCATGAAAACGTGGAATGAATTTGAAAACTTAAAAATGTATACAGTCTCCATCTGATGGATGGGCTACAAGTATTGTCACGTCCTACCATGATGGACATCGGCAGGAAACTTGAGGAAAGTGAGGGGGAATTGGGCGAAAATGGGCAAGACCTTGATGATGGATGTAAAAGGTATTAGAAATTGGTTGTTGGATTATGGCACCCTCCTTAAAGTTGACTGGAGTAAGATTTCAGCTTGCCAGCAATGAGGCAATGAGGAATTGAGAGATTACACAGTGTTTCGTGGCAGTCTGGATTGAACACTCCTGATTGGCCGACAATATTGACATTCCGGACAAAGTCAGATCATAATAACCTCGCACCCCTTAAATCCATATTCGGTGCAGGGCTAAAGCCAGATTTAGCCAAAATGTTAAAAGTTACGAGCCCAGATTGGGAGAACAGTGGAAAGATATATGGAGAAATAGTTGAGGCTGCAAATCAACTAGAGCAAAATATGGAATCCAAATTGAGAACCATGCAGACTGTAATAACTACAACAGGGATTTCAGCAGATAGATGCCCAGGTATATGCTATAATTATGGCTGAGAAGGACCTTGGGCAAAATGTGCTGGTTCCAATAGAAAATAACCGCAGGTAAATCCACTTCTAACCTGGAACCTAAAACCCAGAAAAACCCACTGGCCGAACAGGTGCTACTGGAACGCATTAAGGGATTGTCTCCTGAGCAACAGGAAGATCTCGTAAACCTCACAAAAAAACTCAAACAGCCCACCTCTTAGCCCATTTTTTAGCAGCTTTAGAAAAATGACCAGATGACTGTTATGTTTCGACGGGGGTGGGCGATACGGAAATTGATTGTCTTTTGGACACTGGAGCTGAATTGACATGTTTGCCTTTAATTGACGGATGTAATTTGCCCTTTGACAGTGAGTGGAGGAACGCAGTTGGAGTTGGGGGAAAAGGACTAATTCTCAGCAAAACACAAGCATTGTCAATATAATTGGGGCTGCACAAGATCTTGGCATCTGTGTGGGTTGGGCCCATACGACAACTCCTGTTGCAAATGGATGTCTTAACCCAGATAAGCTCATCACTACGTTTTAAGGATGGTCAAGTTACATGGTCAATAGAACACCTCAAACAGGAGGAATAGCAGAATCATCATATTTGTGCGAAGGATAAAATTGACTGCAATCTGTTACAGATGACCACGGTCACTTTTACTGGAGTTGCCCTGCCTTGTACTAAACAATACCCCATTAGTCCCACCTCCATTGCTTGCATTTTACCCATAATCAAACGATTTGAGTAACAAGGTGTACTAGTAAAAGTCCACAGTTCATCTAATAGTCCAGTATGGCCAGTTAAAAAGCCGGATGGAACCTGGCATCTGACAGTAGACTACAGGAGAACGAGCCATTGTGTTGATCAAAGAGCACCCTTTGTCGCCAATTCCTCTACCATTTTTAACTTTCTTTCGCGGGATTACAAATAATTTTTGGTGATAGACATGGCCAGTGGATTTGGGTCTGTTCCCTTGGCTCCTGAGGTACAACCATGGTTTGCTTTGGTCTTCCAACAACAACAGTATACCTGGACGTGTCTGCTGCTTTCACAGTAGCTCTACTGTATTCCATACGGCTTTGTAAAGTCATTCGCGGGCATTGCCTTCGATGGCATCCATGGTAATTCAATACGTGGATGCTATTAGAATATCATCCCAGACAGAGGATTCACACATCCTCCTTGACCATTTACACTCCTACAGCCATAAGACCAACCTTAAGATGGCGCAGATTGTCCAAGAGGTAGAAACACATTTGGGACAAAAATTTCAGCAGGAAAACGTGAAATGATCCAGGAGTGGAGAGCTGCTGTTTGAACAGCCAAAAAACCCACTACTATTCAGGAATTGAGATCTTTTCTGGGGTTTTGAAATTTCAACTGAAACTGGATCGATAGTTATACACAGTTAGCTCAGTCACTGAATGATCTCTTGAAAAGGAAAGAGGGAATCCAAGGAAGCTGTTATGCTCATCCCAGAGCAGCATTCTGCCTTTCAAAAATTAAAAACTGCTCTGCGCTTAGCCCCAGCTTTGGGCATCCCCGATAATGGGAGATTGTTTACTGTCTACGTACGCGAGAAGGATGGTCACATGAAAGCTATACGCACACAAGAGTATGGTGACTGGCAGCGACCCATTGGCCACTATTCTGCTTGACTGGAAAAATGGCTGTAGGATGGGGCAGTTGCCTGAGAGCTATGGAAGCTATGTGTAGGGCTGTGATGGCCACCGCATCCTTCGTACTTGAGCAGATTAAGAGTCCTCACACAGTTCATGCCATGTTGTCCATGAATAGAGTCTTCCAGGTGACAGCAGCCTGGTGGACACGCTGGAATACCCTCTTGGAAGCTCCCAACTTCCACCTCGCTCATGCTAGTCTAGTCAATCCCACTACTCTGCTCCCAATTTCAGAGGGCGAAAAGCGGGAGAAGAGGGGAAAGAGAGTCATGAGGTTGAAGAACATGATTGTGTAAAAACTGTAAAGTGCTTGGATGAGGCAGCTCAGATAGCAGAAAAGCATTTGCAGGATCTGGGCCTAATCCTTTTCAAAGACAGGTCCTCGTTTGTTGAGAATGGTATACGAGAAGCAGACTGGGCTGTTACCCCCTTACATGGTGTAAGGCACCTTGTCGGCGGGCATCTCAGCACATCAGGCAGAACTATGACCACTTGCAGAAGCCTGTAAAATAGCGAAGGGAAAAATTGCAAATATTTATACAGACTCCTGCAATGCCTTTGGAGTAGCCCATGATTTCGATCTTTATTGCAGAAAAGGGGATTCCTTACAGCAACTGGAATATCTACCTGAAATGAGAATGAAGTACGAGATCTCCTCAATGCCATACAATTGCCACAGGAAGTTTCAGTTTTGAAATGTAAAGCTCATACCCAACAGAACACCACAGAAGCACAAGGCAATGTCTTAGACGACCAGGTGGCTAGAAATGCAGCTTTGCAGGGAATTGCCCTAGTAGGTCATCAAAACCCAAAATACAAACCCTCACAAACAAGTTACAGGATTTAAAGGCCATGCAAGAACAATGCTTTCGAGAAGAGAAGTCGAAGTTGTAGCAGGAATTAAGTTATGTGAGGATGGTGTCTGGAGGCAAAGAAATAAACCAATTGCACTGCAAACGTTAATGTCTTTCTTGGTGCAAAACATCCATTCATGGGGACATCTGGCCTCTTTACAAATGATGGCTAGGTTCCAAAAGAGCTGGTGAGGAAGAGGGTTCAAGAAATATGCACAACTTGTGATAGACCATTGTGTAACATACTAACAGAACAATCCAGAACCAACCACGATAATGCCATGACTAAAACCTTTGGCACCTGCTGGACCCTTCCAATATCTGCAAGTGGACTACATATCTCTCCCAAAACATCCTAAGAACCCTACATATTACTGTTAGTTTGCTTTGGTTCTGAGATTCCATTCGGGAAGGTTCAAAAAACAAAAAAAAAGGGGGAGAGATGGAATATAAGAAAACAGTGTGACTGAGCCAATGTCGTATAACAGTTAAATTTGTTTCTGCTGCTAATAGGATGTAAGGGACATCCGTGAGTGCACGTGACAAACGGAGTGTTGAACAGCTTCTCTAATTGAGTTAATATCGTGTAACAGTTACATTTGTTTCTGCTAATAGGGTTATGGTTTACTGATGTAATGTAATGTTGTAATTGGCTTATGGAGTTGCTAAGGCTTGAAAACGAAATGTAATAGATAAAGCTATTGGCATCTTAATCTTTAAAAATAGAAGCCAAATTTAGAATCAACACAGTTACACGCTTATTCTCAGCAATCAGAATGCAACTAATACAGCTTCTAAATAAAAATCTGAGTTTTTACCTATTGACGACTGGTTATTCTAAGAAAAAAAGAGTATCCAACAATCACATACGAGAGTTTCTTCCTCCAAGTTCTTTACTGCTTGCACATCTTCTTTAAGGTTCTTCAGTTCCCGTACAAGTGTTTCCTCAAACATATTCAATTTCTGTAGCCTTTTTGAAAATATGTAAAATGAAAGTTGTACCAAGCAATATGCACATAGAACTGCAGCTAACAAAGAAATCTTGGTCAAATGTTATTGATTACTGCTATCGTGCTGCAACATCCAGAATAATCAAATTGTTTGGATATGAGCATAAGTAGGCAGTTCATTCCCTTCAGCATATTAAGAACATAAGAAATATAAGCACAAATTGACCTTATGACCCATGGAACCTGCTGTACCATTTAATAGGATTATGGCTGATTTTGGTCATTAACCCCAACCCTCTTGCCTGCTCTCCTTATCCCTGTATTTCAGGAGACCGAAATAATTTACTTTGCCCTTGAATCTATTTGTCAATGGAACATTTACAACAACCATTAAACTTAATCTTATTTTTAAAAATATAATAAATATTGACAAATATTGTTTGAACTGTGCCCATTAACGGAATCACTTCATAAATTCCATGTAACACTTAGTGCCAGTTGCTTAATAACATTAAGCATTCAATTCTGCCAGTGTGCTAATGACTGATTTATTCCTGATCATCCACTTGCACTGCCTCCATATTCTTAAGGTAGAATCATAGAAGTCTACGGCACAGAAAAAAGCCCTCTGGTCCATCAAGCCTGTGCTGATCAAAATAACTACCTAACTATTCTAATCCTATTCTCTAGTACTTGGCCCATAGCCTTGTCTGCCTTGGCATTGTATGTGTACACCTAAAATAAAAACTTTACTGTAATGAATGCTTCTGTCTGTACCACCCATTCCGGCACTGAGTTAAAGATTCTCAGCATCCTCAGTGAAAAAGAAAATTCATCACATCTCCGCTAAGCCTCCTGTCTTTACTTTAAATCTACGCCCACATTCATTTATCTGTCCACCAAAAGGGAAAATGTTCCTTC